TATTTGTAAGAACTGAAAATACATATCAGTTCGTAGGATTCCCGTGTAATTTTGACACCAAATATCAAACAATCGCAAGAAGAATAAATATTCCTACTGAACTGATGACATCCATCGGAGCAGGTTCCAGCTCTCAGCATCCGATCAATCATGTACCTACTGTCCATGTTCATACAGCTGAAAAGCCCGAAAAATTCAACAGGCTTGACTTTAAGAGATGGCAACAGAAGATGCATTTTTACCAGACCACTTTGGGTTTGGTGAAATACCTGAAGGACGACCCTCCGGTTATTTCTGAGAATGAGACCAATGCAGAACTACGCGCTGCGTACGATGCTTGGGGGCAAGGTGACTACCTTTGCCGTAACTATGTCCTGAACGGGCTTAGTAACGAGTTGTACAACGTGTAAAGCTCTGTTGGTTCTGCCAAGGAGCTTTGGGATGCCCTGGAGAAGAAGTAATAGACGGAGGATGCCGGGGCGAAGAAATTCGTCGTCGGCAAATTTCTTGACTTCAAGATGGTTGACACGAAGACCGTCATGTCACAAGTGCAAGAGTTCCAGCTGATCTTGCACGATATCCATTCTGAGGGGATGACTTTGAGTGAGTCATTCCAAGTAGCAGCTGTGATCGAGAAGCTGCCGCCAGGCTGGAAGGACTTCAAGAACTATCTCAAACACAAGAGAAAGGAGATGAGTCTTGAAGACCTGGTTGTTCGTCTTCGTATTGAGGAGGACAACCGTAATTCTTCGGGCAAAAGCCTGATAATGGAGGCTCGTGCGAACTTGTTGGAGCAAAGAAATTCGAGCAAAAGGAAGCCCCTTAACATAGGGAAGCAGCCCGCCAAGGTTTGGAAATTCACTGGATCTCGTTACAACTGTGGAAAGCCAAACCATATGGCGAAAGACTGCAAGAGGCCAAAGAAAGCTGGGCCAAATAAAAGGCAACCGAGTGCCCTTGTTGCTGAACACGGCACTGTGTCGGGTGAATTGACCGATTTTGACATGTCGGCTGTGGTGTTTGAAGCCAATTTGGTGGATAACCCGAGGGAGTGGTACATCGATACTGGTGCCACTCGTCATGTGTGTTCCGACAAGGAGGTGTTCTCTGAATACACTCCTACTACGGGTCGGAAACTACACATGGGAAACTCCTCCACATCTGATGTGGCTGGAGTGGGCACGGTGGTGCTGAAGCTTACTTCTGGAAAGGAGTTGAAGCTGAAGGATGTTCTGCATGTCCCAGACATCCGCAAGAATTTGGTCTCCGGATCACTTCTTGTTGAGCATGGATTTAGGCTGGTGTTTGAAGCTAAAAACTTTATTCTTAGCAAGAACGGAATATTCCTTGGTCGTGGTTATATCGACAAGGGATTGTTCAAAATGAATGTAATGGCCGTGAGGCGTGTAACCGTTAATAATAAAAAGCCTATTTCTGTTTATACCGTTGAGTGTTCTGATATGTGGCATATTAGATTGGGACATGTAAATCTAAATGCAATTAAACGGTTGATGAAACTAGAATAAATTCCTAATTCTAAAGTTGAAACAAATACAAAATGTGAAATTTGTATTGAAGCAAAAATGGCTAAGTTGCCTTTTCTCTCGGTGGAAAGAAGTACTGAACCATTAGGTTTAATCCATACTGATGTATGTGATATGAAAAGTGTGCAAACAAGAACTGGTAAAAAGTATTTCGTAACTTTTATCGATGATTGCACAAGGTTTTGCTACTTATATTTGTTAAGAAGCAAAGATGAGGCTGTGGAAGCATTTAAGATATATAAGACCGAAGTTGAAAATCAACTCGGCAAAAGGATTAAAATAATCCGAAGTGATAGGGGTGGGGAGTATGTATCTCCTTTTGAACAAATATATTCTGAATATGGCATAATTCATCAAATGACGGCCCCTTATTCTCCACAGTCGAACGGTGTTGCTGAACGCAAAAACCGTACGTT